TATATGAAAACATTTTATAAAAAGTCTTCTCAGAATTTGAATGGAGCTTGTTTTAACATGCAAGGACCTGACTACCACTAACTTATTCATATTCTGATTAAAGGAAAAAATGTTACTCTGATGAAAAGAACAGATATCATAACCCATAAAACCACCAGAGGAGAGTTTTTTCAAGTTTGTAATTTATAGTATTTTCTGCCATTCCTTCATGCATTCATGCATCAGTCACACCACACATGTCAAGTCATATTTGAAAACGTTTCTCTAAGAGTAAGTTGAAAGATTTTCACACTCTGAGTCTTTCACTTACATATGTACCCACAGATAACAATGTCAGAAAGTGTGAAATAATGACATTCCTGCTGGGGATGTTTACTAGGCAGTGTAGAAAGTGAGCAGTGGATCAACAAGTACAGACTATTAGTTCAGCCACTTTCTTTGTATTTATCGATCTGTCCAAGTGAATGATTTTGGAACTAAAACTGAAATACATCTCCTTCTCAGTTTTTCACATATCATCTTCCAGTGGTGAGTGCTGACAACTAAAGATGCTGCCTTCACTAAAACATGTTCATTGACTAAACACCCTTTATCTTAGCTCCCACTCCTTCATTGAGGCACTTTCTGATCGTCCCATGCTTCAGCTGCCTCACTGTAGTTGTGTGGCCTGGTAGCTAGTACTCTTTCTCAATATGCCCATTTGTGAGCATGATCAATGGTTTGTGCATTGAAACATTGATCTGATGTTCAATTTAGTCCAATAGTTTTAATCCCCTGTTTACTAGTCAGTTCACAGCACCCATATGCTTGACTTAACGAGTCCCTTTCTCTTTTCTCTCTCCAGAACTGCTTATGTGATCAAAAAACATTTTCTATATATGAAACTTAAAAAAAAAACTAGTAAATAGGACTACTACCTTCAGAGTTTTGCCTTGGAAGTGATAGGCTATTTCCATCAAGCTAATGTAAATGCAAACCTTGGCTTTCTTAACTGAGAGTCATTCTCCAGGGTACAATGTGTGCTGCTCTTCCCCAGTCTCCATTGGATGCTGTTTGGGGTTCCCACTGCTTCTGCAGCATGTTCTCTGCACCCTGGCCTGAGAGGCCCTGTGGTTCATGCACTGTATTCTGGCTGAACCTGATCTCTCTTTCTGTTCCAGTTGACACAGTTTTCACCATAGTCTGATTCATTTCGTGCCAGTTCACAACTATCTGGTGTTTGCCAGTGTCAGGGAGAGGAAGAATTCACTCATTTCCATGGCACCTCCCCTCTGCCTACAAGGTGAAGCTCAGGGCGGATGGTGGGCCTCAAATTTCAGAGTTCAGTGAAACAGTTTTGCTAAAGTTCATCCATAGTGTCATTCTCTTTTGCTCTTGTCCTCATCCATGTGGTTTGTCTGAATGAGCCCATGGCAGTTTTGGATGTTAGAGGAGACTAGGAAGCTGGCTTATGTCAGTGTTCTCCAGCATTGCTCTTGTTCTCCTAGTCAGTAAAAGGTATTCTGAGCATGCAGCTGCCACATTTGTATGGTTACGTGCTTACAAATTATATGCACACACTGGATTTTACAGTTTATTTGTAAAGTTTATGTATTTATAGGAATTTAAAAAGAAAGAGATGCAATGAGAATGTAAATGGAAAGTGTAATATATTCTTCTTGAACCCCAGTGTACTCTACTGTCACTGCTCTGTTGAGGTCCCTGCCCAGGGGCTCATTCTCAATGAACATCCAGGACTGTCAGTTAAGGGCACGTGGTGTTTGGGGGTGAGGGGCACAAAGCAGGCATGACATCTCTAGGAAAGGGGTTTTGTGTACTTTTGCCACCAATTCCCAAAAGTTGTCATGGCTACCATGAATTGCAGGTGAATTCAAGATTCAGAGAAAGGCACCCTTTCCAAGATGGAGTTTTAGTCAGAGAATGGAACACGCTAGATTGTGCTGTTTCTTATGTATTAAAGTCAAGTTTCCATCTCTGGTCATTCTTTACCCTTTATAACATGCTGTAGCTAAAAATAACTGATCGCTATCAAAGATTCCCATTCTTCGAAATATTTTATTGTGTAAACAGCAAAGTGACTTTTTTTCCTGAAAGAGTAACGTGAACCATGACCTGGAGGTGTTAGGAGTAACTTTCTCTAGGGATATCATCTTACCTACGAAAAGGATTTTTTCCCATAGATCATATGATATAGTAGAAGCAGCATTTGGCCAGAGCCAGAAGACGTGGAAATCAAGCATATGTGCTATTTGCAGAATCTCTGCCTCAGGATCCCCACTTGCTATCTAGGAGATCAGGAAGAGAAGCGGTAATGGCCCTTCTCGTCTCTTTCCTGCGGCCACCTGGGATCATACCGGTGCTCCAGAGGCTGTGGAAAGCTTCACAGTGTGGCACTCAACTGCCTGCGCCACCAGGGAGGCCCAAAAGTGAGATCTTTATTATAATCGAAATACCAATTAAATGTATACTGTGACAGATATTAAAATACCAGTTCCCAGGTAATTGAGGTAAGGTCTATTTCAAGCACTGATGGACATATTTTCTAAGATTATGTAATCGTTTTAATATGTCCTTTTTGTAATAATGAAAATAAAAATGTCTTGGAAAACGTATTTCTTAGAACTATTAGAAATATGAATCCCCCTAAATAGTCCAGAATTGTAAGCTATCTCAGCTAAACCTTGAGGTTTAAATCCACTAGAACATATTACCATGTTTTAAAAGATGAAAAATAAACACCATCACTTCATTATTTAATTTTATTAGGCAGCAAACATAAATTTTCAGAGGATGTAATAGAAATATTGCCAAAAATGTGCCTCCTTTGTGTAAAAGTTTCACGTTTGATAATGTGGTTTTAAAATAAAATACTTAAAAATGAAACCAATCCTGCAACCTAACACCAGTGTTCTGTGCAGAAAGGCTGTGCGCACCCCACAGGACCCACAGGCATGTGAGCCTAGGCCCTTTGCGAGGCCATTTCATCCTGGCTCCACTCCTGGTAGCTTCCCTCCAGCATGCGCCAAAGCATGCTGATTCAGTCAGTCTGATTGTGTGCAGGGACTTGATCCTAACAAAATAAAAAATGTGACTTCTGATGCCATTTTAACCAATGATAACTGAAATGGGACAAATGAGATTATTTTGCCTTAGTAGATACTGGCAAAGTCTCACTTATTTTTGAAGTTTGTGATTTTTTGTAAACTATGGGTTAGAGCTCAAACTAATGAAAAATGCAAAGGAAAGGATTTTTCAGGTTTACATGTGGAATCTGTCATTTCTGTTAGAAATAATATTGTACAGGAACAAAATAGTAAACATGCTTTCAGGGGCACTGCTCCTGCTACTCCTCCTGCACTGCCTGTTTGCTGTTTCAGATCCATTCAGAGACCTGTCCCTGGGTGGCTGTGCAGACTCTTAGGAATAGATGTGTGGCCTCGATCTCAGGTCATCTGGGCCCCAATGGGGCCCCAATAGGGCCTGCCTCTGTGTGCACTGTGGATCAGCTTTAGGTCTCCGTGCTGAGATCTCTGATCTCTAAAATACGTTTCTGAGGTTTCTGTCAGGGGTCTCAGTATGGGTCTGTCAGGAATCTCTGCCCTAGGAGGGGCCCAGATGCAGGCTTCAGGGAGAAAGTGGCTAGAGTTGGTCTGTGTCCTATCTGTCTGGTATCCTGGGTCCAGGTCCCAGGAGAGGGTCACTGACGGGTGCTGGGGGCAGGTGACTCCCCTCATGGAATTAGGAATCTCCTGGAGGGGACCCCAACTAGGGAGTGATACCCCTAGGTGGGGCCACTGCCCTGTGCATGTAATACTGCAGGGATGTTCTATGTGTTTCCAGTATCCAGGTGCACAGGCAGTTAGGAGGCAGCTGGGCCAGTGTAGCAGCAGCATAGAGTCATCCTCACCTGCACCCATTTGGACAGGTGCTTCAGGCCTGTTGTAACAGGTCCTGTCCGGGGGTATCTTTCTACACTAGTCTCTGAAGCAAGCTGATTGGAAGCCCAGAGAGACATGCCAAGGGATCCCAGGCCAGTCCCTCAGCCACTGAGGCCACTCCTGTCCTCTGGGAGCCATGTTAAGTGGTGGTGAACCCTGTGAGTCCCTCCTAAGCTCCCCAGTCTCTTTCAGACTTCTTAAATTTCCTTTCAGAATGATGTGAACCTTCGCTGCTTGAGCGCTTTGCTCCTCTGGGAACCTAACGCCTCTGAGGAGCTGCAGGTGGCTCGCCTGTTCTGGGCTATGGTGATGGCCTGTGTGGGGACCCGGAGAGGCCATCCAGTCACTGAACCCTAATGTCTCCTTCCCACTCTGCTTGCAGCAGGCAATGGAATGAGGGCTAGGTCACCCGACTGTTTCTGGGCCATCCTGGGCTACTTTGCACCTGCCCACACCACCCACTCTGTTCACACAGAGGGCTACAGGGCATAGTCTTGCCCCTGCTCCATTGCCCAGGAGGGTCTATCCCTCCTCTGGGGCAGGTGGACATGGTCCTCAGCACCTCTCCACACTCCCACCACACCCCCGCCTCAAACCCCCATCCTTGTCATCAGGGAGAGAAGGGGCCCTGGCCAGGTGTCATCTATGCTCACAGAGACACAGGGGCAGATTCTTCCCACTTCTGAACTTGGGGCCAGCACCCCCAACTGCATGCAGCCATCTCCTACACTTGTCGAGGCCTGAGAATTTCAGCCTCTGCACACCCATCCCCTAGAAGAGTTGAAGCAGGGAGAAAGCAGGAAACAATGGCTGAGTCAGGACCTAGCCTGGGTTTTAAGACATCTTGTTCATCTTGGCAAGTTCTGCTTTCCTTATGTTTTTCAGTAGGGTGATGTGAAATCCTAGGGTGCATCAAGGGCCCAGGGTGAGGACAGGTATGTCACATGGCATTCAACCTCCCTCCATGGTGCCATCCTTATTGAAATCAAAGCAGGGCCTCAGAAGAGGGAAATTGACCCCTACTCTGCCCGCCAAAAAGGCACAGATCACATAATATGAGAACATACATATATTTTATGAAATAAATGTCCTGATAAAAGGTCACTAGCACAGAGAAGATGTACAATTATGAGGAAAGAAAGATTTCCGCCTGTACTGAACATTTTCTTGAATTGTTTTCCTGTCGGTAAAGACAGGAGAAGCACGTGCTGGTGGTCCAGACAAGACACGGTTCACAAGCCGGATTGTTGGGGAATGGTGAATGTGGTCACAGGGCCCTGCCTCCCTTGGCCTGTGCTGGCCAGGTCTAGCTGGAGACCCTTGCTCTCTGGGTGACAAGACCCTGTGTCTCACTGCCCCTTTTCTGATAGGACAACTGTGTCCCTGGGGTGTTGCTTGATGACTACATGTTGTGTCTCTCATCACTCTTTGTTGCGCTGGGAGGGTGAGAGTGCTGTGGCAGCAGGAATGCCGACCTACTGCGACCTGACGTTGTTCTTTGTCTTGCTTTACCTCTGAAGCTCGAATTCCTTGGGATAGTCCCAATTTCTCCACCAGAATGTGTCCCACAGCTGCTGCAATCATTTGCACTTCCATAGCTCTGTGTGTTGTCAACCTTCTTTTGATTCCCTCCTGGCTCTGGCCAGTGGCTGGTGCAGGCTTGGCTTTTTGAAGGTGCTCTTCCTGCCCTTTGTCTTTTTTATTGCGTTTCTGACACTCCAGAAAGTGCCGCATTCTTTTTCGAAGGTAGCTTTCTGGAGAAATTAATTCCTTTTCTGGCAAGAGGGTTTTGCTCCCCTGGATTTTTTCCGTTTCCCCGACCTGAGCAGGGTGGCTTATCTCATTGGTTTGGGAAGTCCTCTCTTCTGGAGAATGTTTTTCCTGCTTTGTTGATTTGGGCTTGCTGTCCTTCTCTTCCTCATCAATTGGGCTAAGGACATCCTCCCTTTCATCAGTTGGGGTGTCATCATGCACTGTCTCACCAGTTGAGGTCTGTGTCTTCCTTTCATCCTCGCCCTTAACTTTTGGTATTGTTGGCTCCTGATGCTCCTGGCTGCCTTGTCCTCTCTGTGCAGAGTCTAATGTCTCCTGAGGTGCTGGTGTGTCTCCACTACCATTTTCTTCCTGGATATCACACAGTGACTTTGCAGAGGACAAGGTATTTGCAGCAAGAAGCACATTTGTGCGAGAGTCTGGGAGGAGCACGGTGGTGGTACAGCCTGGGAGGAGCACACCTGTGCCGTAATCTAGTAGGAGCCCCTCAGTGCAGGAGTCTTTAGGGAGAACTTCAGTGGCATGGACTTGAGGCTGTTTCTCTGAAACAACTTTCCCTGGGATCTCAAACTTACTGGCAGTCACTGTTTTAAGGTGTGGCTCTTTTGGATTTGGGGTATTACATGCAATAGGTGATAAGATGGTATTACTGGACCTGGAAGACGGTGAATTCTTCACATTCACATCACCAGTTGGGGCGCTGTCTGGCTCGCTGGGGCCTAAGTTGACTTCCCAGGCAGGGGCTTCCTTGGTCTCCATCAACTTCAAGTCTTCTTTGACCTTCGTAGATTTGGCCTCTAAGTTCCTCTTCAGTGCTGCTATCTTCTGGGGCAGTTCTTGTGTGATTGGATCCCCGGTCTCCTCGTTCAGTTTATTTGTAGTCATTTCTGTACTTGGAGTGGGCGCTGGGTTTCCCATCTCAGCCTCCAGCACAGTCTCGCTCTGCCCAGAACTGCTAACGGGGCTGGGGACTGATGTCTTAATGGGCGGCCTGTTCTCTTCTCCAGTCAGAAGAACCTTTGACAGACCTTGGTCGTGGTCAGGTGGGGTCCCTCCCAGGGCTTTCTGGGTTTCTTCTCTCACAGAGGAGGGAGAAGAGGAGGGGCTCACCGGAATGGGGGTGGAAACTGACTCTTTAGTTAAAACCTTTTCTTCCAGACAGGCCTGAGGAGGTTTTCCCAAGGAGTTAGCCAAATTGTCTTTAGACTGTGTCCGTGATTCACAAGTGACTATGTTGGGGGAGCCAGGCCTTGGAACGGACATTGGTTTAGCCTCATATTCCTTGATATGCATGGCCTCAAAGGGCTGGGGGTAAGAGCCCCATTTCTGCCTTACCCGAAACCTGATCATATGTGCTTCCAGCTCCTGTCGAGCACGTGGACTGAGGAAAGGAAGCTTGTGGGAGGTGTTCAGGCAGCTTGCCCGACCCTTCAAGGGTGCTAGCTTTATGGGGTCCCTCTCAGTGTTGTGTGTGGATGAAGCCAGGTTGGCGGCAAGCCAGGATCTACGCACACTGACCGGGATCAAACCCTCGGTGACCTGCCCTCGCTTCTTGCCCAAATGGGCTTTCAAGACTTTTTCTAACTGTTTCCCCTCTGGGCCCCTGGATGAGCAACTTCCTAAGCTACTGATGAACGGCCTCGCTGGGTGTCTTTGCAGCTCCTCAGAGATAAGTAGCAAAACTTTCACTATGAAATTAACCAAGCCTTTGCTTTCGTCTTTGGAGATCCTCCTCAGACTCAGACCTAGACCCTTGTTTAATTTCTTGTTTTGTAGGATCCTAAGTCGATTCTTCCTGTAGGACTTCCTGGGGAAACTGCAACTTATCTCCTGTGCAGCCCAACAATTTTTGTATGACGACATGGGTGACAATGAGGGCTGCTGGCTGCCCAGGGCGGGGAACTCCCCTGGGAGTTGTCCCTGAGGCTGCATTGATTCCACAGCCTGGAATCTGTGGGGCAGGCCATCCTGATGGTCACCTCTGAGCAGCCACTCCTGGAGATGTGATGCCTGGCGATTTCCCCTGACAAGATCCCCGTGAGGGACACACACTGCACTGTGGGCCTGGAAGGCGTAGCTGTCCTCAGAAAGCCTGGGAGGGACTTGACTAAACAGTTGTTCAGAGTTTTGTACCTCAGGGGATAAAGACATTCTTTGTAGCTGTGTCTGCCACACGGACCATTCCTGACACTGAATGTCAGTTGGGATAAAGGCTTGTGCCTTGCTCTGGTCTGTAGGACTAGATACCCCACAGTACCTAATCTGTGGCTGAATTGGGTGATGGGGTATATGATGGGTCTGATCCTGAGACAAAGATCGGGGCTGGGATTGGAGGAAGTTTCCAGCCAAAGTTTGTATCTGGACCCCAGGGTGAGGTCTGAATACGGCCTGGGAAAGATTCGAAGGCGTGATGGGCTGATTGGTATGTGGAAAGCAATTAGAATTTCCATTGAATAAAATAAAGGAAGCCTGGGGTTGAGATGTGCTACCCATGAGCAAGGCCACCAGGGACTCACTGTGCAGGGAGGGAAGACCCCAGCAACTGCATTTCTGATGTAAATAGTCCCCTATGTCTTGCATATAAGAGAGATGCTGATGATTGGACAATTGCTCCACTTTTTCTTCCTTGTTTTGGAGGAGTGGGGAGAATGTAATGTCCTCCAAAAAATTCAGGTGGTAAACTGAGCTTTTTTGTTTTTGAAATGACCCATGATTTTCTTTCCAAATACTCAGTTGTGCTCTTTTGCTAATTAAAATTTCCAGCAGCCTCTGAACGTCAGGGTCTATAAATGAGGGTCTACCAATCTCTACATGAGTGCTTGTTGGGCCTCCCCAGAAGGAGGTCCCTGACAGATGTTGGGGCAGGTGCTGCGGCTGGGGCTTGCATCTGGAGGAGGCGGGGAAGAACAAGGCCTTGGTAGTTGCCCACCACCAGGACCACAGCCAAAAGGGATAGTTGGTAAGGCCCAACCCTGCCATGGCTGGCATTGGAGATGCCACACAGGAGTTCCCTTTGTCACCTGGAGGTGAGCTCTTTAGGATGGCGTCCAGTGGGATTTTCATTGAAATGAATTTATCTTCTTTATGGTTCACTGACCTGGTGGTGGTCACGGCAGGAGCAGGATCTTTTAAACATGACCTATGGGCTCCGGCAGGTGCTGCTTTGGTGTCTTGAAATTCGCCCTTGTCAGGATGCTTCTCCAGGTGACTGCAGGACACAGGAGGCACAAGTTGCAGGTAGGAGTAGAGGGGCCTATAGGACTGGTCAGGCCAGATAACCTGTGGCCCCTGTAGCCTCTACTGTCCCCGTGCTGACTCATAATGCTCTTGCTGTCCTCACCCCAGTCCCCCACCCTCCACCTACCTCAGGACTTTAGCCACACCCCAGCCCCAGATCCCCCCCCACCCCCCACCCCGGTCTACTCTAAGTTGCCTGTGGTCCCAGGGTCATACCACAGGTTCTGAGAGGACACATAAGGGAAGAATCTGTACCTCTGTAGAAGTAAAACCAGGTTTTTAGCTTCCTCCAGTTCTTTCAGGCATTCTTTATAAGCTGTAAGTCAAGATGCTGGGTCACATTGTGAAGGAAGGACCCAGGGAGTCTGACAGGAGGCTGAGAACCACATACTCCAGACCACCTTTGGGGGATTTGACTCTAGAATCCAAGGTCACCTGATGCCTGACCATGATGGCAAGACTTATTATGGGGGCCCTTGTCATTTGAAAAGTTATTTTGATCCTGAGGCCTTGTCACTGCTCTGTGGGGCAGAATGGGCAGGGCCTCCCAGAGGAATCTGAGCAGGTTAAACAACCTGACTCCAGCTATTTGGCGACCCACCTCCCATGCCCGACCCCGCTGGTTCACTCCCGCTGTATGTCTCTGCCGACAACACACATTTCCGGGCTCATCTTGGCTTCCTCTGAGCTTTGAAATCTGGGAGGTATCAGGGTTCTGTCTCCTTCAAGGAGACTCTGTTTTCTGAGGACTGAGCTCTGACAACCTTGGAACTGGGAGCTGCCACTCAGGGACAGGAGAGAAGGGGTAAATCTCGGTCAGGTTAACCTCCAGCCTCTCACCTTTCCAAATTTGGTATTTCTTTCTGCTCCTCTTCCTCGCCTTCCACTGCATTTGTGGCTGAGACATGAGGAAATAAAAAAGGAACTGTCACCCTTTTCTCCCTGTCCTCCCTCGAGACCAGCCGCAGACTTTCAGTGCTCACGCATGACTTTTGCCTTTAAACCAATGAAGCTTGTGGTTTCCTTTCCTTCTACTCATTTCTAAAATGCCTTGACATATTTTCTGTCTTCCATGAAGATCACGGGAAAGGATTCCTTGCCATTCAAGACACACAAATCCTCAGGTCTCGAGGTGCTGAGCTCCATCAGGTCAGGTAGGACCTGCTTCCTGGGACCGGCACCCTACCCCATCATGGCCAGAGGCTCCAGGGTCTCTGTACAACCCCCCATCAACCTCAGCAGAGGAGAAGCTGCCCCACATGCTGAACACAGCAAGGCACCTGGGGTACATTGCTTGGGACCCCGGGCTCCCCCAGAGGTCACCCCTCTCAGGCACCCTGTCCTTGGACGCCATTTGGGACTTTGTCTGGAGCCTCTATTGACCCGTCCCCTTGTCTGAGATCTTTGGTTAGAAATCCTAGTGCCCACTCTCACCCCTGCTGGCCTGGCTTGTCTCCAGGATCATGAGGTTCTATTCTTTCCTGAGAAAAGATGATCTGTTCTCTCCCCTCCACAAGTCTCTCTCATGATTTGGAAAAGTGGAAATAATAGAAAAGAGAATTTTGTGGCATTGGGTCTGGCCCAAGGGCTTCTTACCTTCCTGGTGTTTCTGTCTTTCCTAGGCAGTGGGAAGGATGGAATACTGTTGAGGAAGCGAAGTATCACGATATAGAGCCCCAGTCCGCAAAGGAAGCCTAAGATGATATCAGACTCCCAAGATAAAGAGCAGGAGCTCAGCCAATTGGCAATAATGCTTTCCAGAGAGAAGAGAAAATTCTCCATGATCTGAATCGCACAGCTGCTCTTGAGCAACTGAGCACTGGGAGGAACTCAGGGACTTAAATGTCAGCTCCGCATCACAGAGGTGACCTTGTCACAAAGGACTCCTGACTGCAGGGGAGGGGCCAGGAGAGGAGCAGGCAGCACCAGGGCCCCTCCCCCAGGGCCTCCCAGACCTTAATTTTTTCTTCACTACATCCAGTTTAGATCTATTACTTGGTTCCTGTTATCTCTTGGAGACTTCGACTTGAACCCATCAATTTCACAGCCTTTAAAATTCTTAGCTTTCATGGGAATTCTGGCTCTTTCTGGGAGAGTTTTTCCTTCAGAATCTCCTCTGTCTTCATCTCCATTTTTCATGCTCCATTTTTTTCTACTCTTAGCAAATTTAATTTGTACATTATAGTATTATCCACTATAATCACCATGTTATACATTATATCCTCTGATTATCTTCATCTTAAAACTCAGAGTTTATACACTTTTACTACACTCTTCCTATTTCCCTCACCTTTTGCCTTCTAGATCACTTAATCTTCTCTTTTTCTTTTTTTTTTTTTTTAAGATTTATTTATTTATTTATACAAGCACTAGGTACAGTCAGAAGCGCGGGAGGGTGAGAGAATTCACCAGAGCCAGAGCGGGGAGCAGAGCAGGCAGAAGGACCGAAGTACACTGCTGAGGGGAGCAGCGGGCGGCAGGAGAGGTCCGCGCGCCATGTGGGACCCTCCTCCAGTGGCCGGGGAGCAGCCGGGGATCCAACTGGTGCTACAGAGGCTGCGGGCAGCTTCGCAACCCAGCGCTCAACCGCTGCGCCACTGGGGAGGCTCTCTTCTCCTGTTTTTCTCTGAGTTCATCTGTATTTGATTCCACATATAAGTGATACATTACAGTGTTTGACATTTTCTCCCTGGCTTATTTTACCTAGCATAAATAAATAAAACTTTATAGATTCTTCCATGTGGTTGATAACCTCAGCTCCATCATCAGCCCACTAATAGGGCTTTATGTTTATTTTTAATTTTTGTTATTTGAGTTATTGTTTCCATCAGTTATTGTTTCACATCTTCACTCAGAATGACTGACAAAAATTCAAACTGACTTATTACTTAAAATTTGCAAAGATAAATAAGTATAATAGAAGTATAAATAAATGAAAATCAACTGATGTTTTGTTAGTGGCATTTATTTCCTTGTGATATGTTCTTCACACACACTCACACAGACATGCACACACATATATATACTTATACATACACATTTTGACAGACCCACTCTCTATTTTCAATCCATGAATTAAGCATTTCCTCCTTTTATTGTCTTGACCCCATTTATTTTTAGTTTTCCCCAAATAGTCTTCATTCTCCAGAATTTAGAATTTTCAACTTTACACCTTGAAGCCAGGAATGGATTAAGGTGAAGTTAAAGTACTGATCTTTAAGAGAATATACTGGCGCCAGGGAATCAAGACCTGGGTTTGAGTCTAGTCTTAGGCAGCCGTATCTGATATCCTTAGTGTTTTATACATATCCTCTTTTTTGGAGTATGTCTTGCTCTGTCCCTTCTGTCCCCACTAGACCTATGGAGCCCAAGGCTCTCCTGCACCTTCAGGAGAGGGTTCTTTGAAACATGTTGACCAACTTATTAAAGGATACGTTAAGGATACTCATGAACAGTCAGATGATGAGACACATTGAGTGGGGTCTGGGAGGGCCCCAGGCCTCCCTTTTGTCCCCGTGGGGCTGGGGGTGTCACCCTCCCAGTGTGGATGTTTTCATCAACCTCTGAGCTCTTCCAGTTTTCCTTCTGAAGGTTTGCTCAGAGGTATGATCAATTATTAACTATTTTCAGTCCTTCTCCCTTCTCAAAAGAATGAGGGTTGAGGCTGAAAATTTCAAATTTGTATCATTGCCTGATTTTCCTTGAGATCAGTTTCCATCCATGAGCCTATTCAGAGTCTCATTAGAACAAAAGAAGCTCCTATTGCTCTTTCCCTTAGGAATTTTCAAGGATCTTAAGAGTTCTGTGTCAGGGTCAGAGTCAAAGAAAAATTACAGAATAAGAGATGCTGCTTATAATTAGGAAATTATAAGGATTTCAGGAACTCTGTGCCAGAAACTGAGGGTGCAAACTTATATATCTATTTCAGGAGCCATCAACATGCTCGGCTCCTCCTTCAGATTTAATTAATCTAGAAAACCATTGGGAAAAAAAGACATCATTTCTGGATTACAAATGATTGTTTCCATAAACCCTTTGGCACACACAATTCTTAGCTATTGTGTTTTATAGTTATTACACAGTTACATATACACACACTTATAGAAAGATAATCTTTTATACCAAGAAAATAATCTTAGTGATACCAAGAGTGTCTTGTGTAAGTTGTTGTTATTACTCTTCACTGGTAAATTTACTTCCAATTTAAGCATATTTTTGATTATGGAAGAATTTGCCCCATTGTTAACTCTCTTTGTGGTCACCAAAATTATGTTTAGTGTCTTCTTCAACATATAAAACAACTTTATACCTAATAAGACTGGAGTTGGGACTGAAACTGCCATCTGCTACTGTAGTGCCTTATATCATCAAATGATGCAGGACAAATTAAGAAACACATGAAAGCATATCAAGAAAGGTGGTGGGATAACAGGAAACTTTTATTTACTTTATTTTTAAAAAGACATAAGGCATTTATGAAGTGGCAGGTATGGTTCTAAGTACTTTTAAAATATTGACTATTTAATAATTCAAATATGGCATAATGAGACTCTGTGAGCTGAAACTAAACAATCATCACAGCCTGTTTGAATATAGAATTACTGTTAGCTCTGCATTTTGTCCAAGAATTCTTAGCTCAAATTCCCAGTGCATTACTTTCACCACAACAGTATGTGTGCCCATCCCTTCTGAAGCTGCTGAGCATTTACTCCACTGTTTCAGTTCTCCTCATGACACCTTCCCAATAGTTCTGTAACATCTTTTTTTTTTTTAAGATTTATTTATTTACGCATACAAGAACTGGGGTATAGAGGTGGGGGTGGGTGAGAGGATTCACCAGAGACAGAGGGGAACAGAACAGATGGATTGACTGAAACACACTGCTTAGGGGAACAGTGGGCAAATCAGGAGAGGTCTGCTGCGCCATGTGGGTAACTCCTTGGCCGGGTATCCAACTTCTGCTGCAGTGGCTTCAAATATCTTCATAGCTTGTGTCTTAATCCCTTGGGCCACCAGGGAGGCCCGAGTTCTGTAACATCTTTTTTTTTTTTTTTTTAAAGGTTTATTTATTTATTTATACAAGCACTGGGTACAGTCAGAAGCATGGGAGGGTGAGAGAATTCACCAGAGCCAGAGCAGAGCAGAACAGGCAGACTGACGAAGCACACTGCTGAGGGGAGAAGCGGGCACGGCAGGAGAGGTCTGCGCACCATGTGGACCCTTGTTGGTGGCCGGGGATGGAGCTGGCACTACAGAGGCTGCCGGCAGTCTCACAGCCCAGCACTCAATCGCTGCGCCACCAGTGAGGCCCTAATTCTGTAACATCTTAATGATGATTCAAATCCTAGTTCCATAAAAGTCTCCTTGAAGAAATTTCAGAGAACCTTGCAAAACAGATTTCCCCAAGTGCATCATTCCATTTCTATTAAACTACTAATAAGCAGTTGCTTCATAGCACAATCATCTGTGGAGATGTGAGACTTTTCTCCTAGATAGCAAATTTTTGGAGAACATGAACTATTTTGGACAGGTTCAAGTGAAACGATCTGAGATTCTATGGGTGCTACCATACACTTCTAGACAAGACCTATGTGGGTTTTGAGCCTGGTGATTTTTTTTTTCATTATAGTTTTAATTTAATTAAATTTTTTATAAATAATTTGTATTAATTTTAATTGTGGTAATATCATATGCCCTCATCAGGTATTGACTCACCCATAGTCTGGTGAGGTATCCAAAGTCAGAGGTCCAGTTTGTGGTTTCTCTCCTTTTGAATCACATAATCTCCTGACTTTTTATAAAGTCTCTGTTATTTATGTTGCATAGATCAAAAAATTTGACCTGATATTTCTTATATTAAAAGGAAGATCTTCCAGTAAGCCTGTAAGCAGATATCAAGTTCTAAAATATACCTAGTAAGCAAAAAGAATCTTTGGATTAAATAAGGGAAAACCATGACGTTTTCATTAATATATCACAATATACAAATTTTTAGCCTTCATTTTTATAGCAAAGTACTGGCTTGAGGAAATAAATTTATTAATTTTCCTCATTTATGAACTGCAAATGATGTGAAATATCATAGGATCTGAAAACAATGTATGTGTACACGTCAAAAACAAATCTTCTCATCTTCACTCTGCTCTGTTTTGTATATGATCTGTTTATGAATTGTGCATCTATCTACATTCAGGAGATTGGGCTGGTCCCGAAATGAAAGGCTCCTGGTCCCCTTAACAGCTGTTTCATGACCTCCACCATCATGTTCCAGTTTCCCCTTGACTTTGGTCTCAGCATTCTCTGCTGTGAAGGACAATACTAATGTCTGGACTGTGATTGTGGTAAATTCCAGTAAAGTGGGAGGAATAAAAGAGAATGAAATATTTTAGGGAAAAGTGAATGCACGCAAGTCATTAAAGTGTGAAAAGAAGGTCGTTTAAGCATTCAAAAATATCTGTCATTATTATACATTATATTACCAAAAGAAAGGAGAAAAATCTGATGATTACCTTAGTAGATGCAGAAAACAAATTTGCCACAATTTAACATCTTAAATGATTTATTCTCCTATTCTATCATATTCTTGACAATCCTATTTTCTAAGGAAAGGTTTAAGAAAATAGGTCTTCAAATCTGGGCATTACAAGGATGCTAGTCATCAGTATTTCTCTCAGATACAGCACAGGCCCCCACATTATTGCTAGGAAAACACAAACTTAAGCAATAGCACTCTGGCAGCCTGTAGCTCTCCTGTCTGGTGGGTTCATCCCATAGGTTTGGAGTTGCTTACAAAGAAGAAGCTGCCTTCTGGGATTTGCAGACTAGTGAGGGGACCTGTTCCCCCAAGTGGGGACACTAGATAAGAGTGTGATCAGTGAGCTCCGGTTCTCACACTCAAGTCCTGGGACTCTCAGGCCCTTACTGCCAGATGCTCAGGACAGTTCTTCCATCACCCCACCCTTGTGCATGTTGAAGGAGTGGGTCAGCCTCCCTAGCGCAGAGAAAGCTGGGTGATGGCATGTGTTTTAAAAGGCAATCATTATGAAAACTCTTTCACAAAACCCAATTCAACTAAAATAGTGTGTAGAGAACCACCCCTGGTTTTAATTAAAGACCCCTCCGAAAAAATTCAGTAACAATGCATTGAATTATTTATTTAAATATATTATTTCCGGGCCTCCCTGGTGATGCAAGGGGTTAAGATGCAACCTATGAAGCTAACCGTAGCCACTGCAGCAAGAGCTCGATCCCTGGCCAGGGAGAAACACATGTGGTGCAGCAGACCTCCTCTGAATCGCCTGCTGCTCCCCTCTGCAGTGTATTTCAGTCAATGTCTGCCTGTTCTGTTCCCCACTCTGTCTCTGGTGAATCCTCTTACCCCCTTCCCCACACCTCTGGTCTATACCCCAGCTCTTGTATGCATAAAAATAAAATAAATCTTTAAAAAATATTATTTCTACCTCAATAATAAAGTAAACATAACCATTGAAAGTTCCTGCTGCTCAGATTTTAGGATGAGTTTCAAAAAAATTCCCTTTGTCTCCTATTGAATCATTTTTTTTTTTCAGTAAGATCTGGTGGCTCATTAATATATTGTACCTTTTATTTCTTCTCTTTTGAATTCTAGTGATTCTGGTGTCATCATTTAATGTTGTGTTAACATTCAACTGAGAAAGTTAAATTCTCTGTTCTTTGACAAAATTACTTATCAATTCAAATGGTCTACAGGTCATCCAGTTCATTCAGGTAACCTGCTCCAGGGGTTTTCTGGAGAGGAAGATGAAAGGGCAATTTAGAGTTTAAATGTCATTGGTGTTCTGCCAGAATAAATTTCATAGTGCTTTATCACCCAAGATGGTGCATTTTGACACTAATACCTCAGTATCAGATGGATTAGGTAAGGGTTTTTTTTTCCCTAAGTAACTGTTCAAATCTATGATATGCTATTATGTTTACTCTGTCTGACCCATTTCAACTTTTAAACTTCTTTGTGTACTAAATGCGTGTTGCATTACTTTCTAAGATCCTGGGAGGTATGCCTGCTTTAGGAACCTTTATTTTTCATTGCCATGATATTACTGCTGCACCTCTGTGAGGTCTGATTGATGGTGTGTTGCATGAACTTACCCCTGACTTGTTTATTACACTTTATGGGAGTAATGTGAGCTTTCAGTTTCAGATAATTTACTGTGTTCTCCACGGAGGACAAAGCAGAGTGTGAGCATAGTGCTGTAAGGGAAAAAAAAAAAAAGCTAAAATAAAATCCATGATTGATAGAATGGATGTAAAATCAGCTAGAATCACGGTTCGCATGTGTGTAACAGGTGCTGTCAAATGAGCTGCAAATGGAAATGATGCAAAGAGAGAACAAAGAGAGAAAGGAAATGACGCTGAGATGATTTTTCTATTTTTATTTCCTTTCAAGTCACCAGCCTGGGTTAAAAGACTTCAAAGCAGATAGAACAAGTGAGTCAGAATTACAATGTAATTATACATCCACTATTCTCATGTGAGCTCTTGGATCATGTTTTACCAAAGGGTTTTAAGTCATTTTATGGATAAATGGAAAGGTGATTCTGACCAATATCAAACTTTAACAAATGACTTCAGAGATGTAAGAGGTGGAAAGAATATTGCTGAAAATTAATGACTTTTCTTGAACCATCAGAGAATGGAGGTTACAAGACAACCAACCAGTATGAAATCTAGGGAGTGACAGACACCCACAAAGAGAGATAGGAACCCTGCATTTCTTTCCTAGGACATACAGAGACTGATTAAGTTACGAGTCCAAACAAAGATGAAAGCAGAAAATTTTAACAAATTGAGCAACAAAACAAACAACTGAGTATTGGGTTATAACCCAAATAGAATAAATGTTCATGAAGTCATACTGTTATGAGTAATTTATTGGCAACAAAAGTAAACTATAGAAATCAGAAGTTAGAAAATTACAATAAATGATAGAGATATTTCTGTCTCCAATAGGTTAAGTTTAGCTGGTGCCGTCTGATAGAGAGCTGAGAGAGAAAAATAGAAACTTTACAGAGGAGAAACCTGGCAGACCTCCCTAAGCCACTTAAACCAATGGATCAAGTTAACATCCTCAATAAGTCACCTTGGTATAATGTATCCAGATATGATATGTGAAAATGGCATTAACTTCTGTGCTATACTTCCCCCAAATCATAATCCTAGTCTAACCATTAGAAGATATCAGAAAAATAAGAAAACAACTGAAACACCATCAGAGATTGAAGAAGGCTAAGCTGACAGGATGACTAAATGCAATGTGTTGTCTTTTGTTGGATCCTGGAACAGAAAAAGTGTGAAAACTCATGAAATCAGAATGAAAGTCTGCAGGTTAGTTAATAGTGTGGTACCAATATTATTTTCTTAGTATTAAAAGATGCACCCTGATTACACAAGATGCTATCATCGAGGGCAGAAACTTCCAGAAGTCACGCTCCTATCCTTACCAAAAGAAAAATCTGGACAACTTGGAAACCAACGACTTTTCTTGGGCTCCTCAGAAACTGGGGTTGCAGGGCTAGCTACCACCCTGAAACATGTAAAGAGAGAAACAGCCAAGAGATAGAAGAACCAAAATGCTCTTACTTGTTCCAGGGCCATTGGACTCATACACTGGTAGAAAGACTTAATGGTAATTTGGACAATTATCGGAGGCTGAGTGTAACTGAGCGTGAGAAATTCTGAGGCCACAATCTTCAGGGCGTCCCTTCCAGGAACAGGTTGTCACGACGAAGATGGAGAAAAACGTCCTGGTGGCTCTGGAGGGGGTTCGGAGAATAGGGGTAGCAGTGAGGGGAAATGAGTCATTTTGAAACATACCCAGAGCTTCTCTATTAGAGAAACTTACTGTCCAGGAGAAAGGACTTGTCAGAGAGCAATTATGATATCAAGCAAAGGGAAATAAATTTTTGCATCCTTTTTTTCTTTTTATAAATTTCATATATATTTTACATCAGTCTTCTGGAGCTTCCATATGATCCAGCAACTGCATCCTTTGTTTCTCAAGAGAGGTAGAGTGTATAGGTAGGGGTGTCATGTCAATAAGGAATAGGGGGCCTCCCAGTGGCGCAGCGGTTGAGCGCTGGGTTGCGACCTCCGCGGCGCCAGTTCGATCCCCGGCTGCTCCCCGGCCACCGGAGGAGGGTCCCACATGGTGCGCAGACCTCTCCTGCCGCCCGCTGCTCCCCTCAGCAGTGTACCTCGGTCCTTCTGCCTGCTCTGCTCCCCGCTCTGGCTCTGGTGAATTCTCTCACCCTCCCATGCTTCTGACTGTAACCAGTGCATGTATAAACAAAAAAATAAATAAATAAATAAATAAATAAATAAATAAATAAATAAATAAAATGCCTCTATAAAAAAAAATAAAAAAAATAAGGAATAGGGCTTCAAGAAATAGATTGGGAATGCTGCCATCAGGGAAAGGAATAGGGACAGGAAGAAGAGGGAGGTTATAAGGCCATAGTCCCAAATAGAGACCCACTCAAGACAGGGACTTAGAGAAATCTTACAAAATGCTTTTCCTCACCATCACTCCAACAGGTCTCCAGTATTGCTCGAGTAGATCCCAGCCGAAGAACTGCAAGATGCAGACTCTGATGAGTGGTACATAGGGAAGTCCCAGTGTCAAGCGGGGGCACAGAACAAAAACGAAAGGAATTTGAAGCCTAGGGGACCTCTGTAAGAACATCAAACAAGGACCAACTGATAAAGATCAAAAAGTTCAATCAATGAAAAGGAGGAGATTCTGAGAAAGAATTAATAAAATTAAATATTTTGATTTTCTTATTCTTAGTTGATCTAAAAGATACTGTTTAAAATGACATTGACAATAGGGCATTAAGTGATTACAGTAACGGCAAGTTCAATTATAGTGACATCACAGGTAGGGGAGGAAGGGATTGTGAATGCTGTTATAAGGTCCAAGCACTACACAACATGTGGTGTAGTGTTATTTCGGGGGCTTAGATTCTTTAAAAATGCATAACACAAACTCTAGAGTAACCACAAAAATTTGAGAGAAATACTAATTCTCCAAGCTACAGGAAACTGGGAACTGGCTACTCTGTACTATGAAACTTTGCTGTTATTCTAAATGATTCCAAAAATAAGAAGAAGTTGATATACTTCTTAAGTATAATTGCTTAATTGTGAAAATGTCTCTTAAATAGATGAATGGTATATCTCTTGACTTCAGTTTTTAATTTTTTTAAATGAAAATAAAAACTCCTAGAAAAATGGTCACATTTAAGTCATTTTGTCCACCCCCACTCCAGATGATTCTGTCCACATCGTTCTTCATCTGGTTTAATAGTTTATTGAGTTTTTGTCATTCGAGTTCTGTACAATCCGCGTAGGTAACAGAATATGGCCACATAGGTTGAAGGATAAACATGCCTTTATTCATGTTATCAAAGACAAAAAGTGAACATGTAAGGAGACTGATTTTATTCAAGTTATTGCAATAAGAAGAGCACTTCAGAGCCAAGGACCACAGTGTCCTGCCAGGGAGCTTCTGCCCTAGACTTCCGCAGGAAGCAGTAGAAAAGGTACAGGTGGGGTTGATTTACAACTGGGCTTGTCCTGCAATTAAGGCGTGAACTAGATGAACAGGAATGTTTCTGTGTTTGGCTAGTTTCAGAAGGACAGACAATTCTAAATTCAGCTAATCCTTCATAAGACAAAGAAAAGGATGTTGAGAGTCTGTGCCTGACTTCATCAGCAGGTTTGGACAAGTGGGAAATGCTGGTGCTTTTCCTGGTCACAGGTCAACCAGGGAGCCACCTGCATGTCTTACCGAGAACTCAGAAAGTATGGCCAGAAAGTCTTATCTCAGTCATGTGGGAAAGAGTGATTCTTTGGGGTAAGGCTATTTCTGGGAACACAAAAGGGTAGAAGAATTTCATAAAGCAGAAGGATGTGCTTCCTTAACTTGTTATTTTCTGGGATCACAGAAAATAGGTAAAATTTAACATTGTCAGGCCTCACTTTTATCTACAATTAATGAATATCATTCATTGCTCAACTCAGAGACCCTGTAAATCTGAGTGGGACAAAGCAAGGTCTAAAGAATAGTCTCTTGACAGCTCTTGTTTGATTTTGCTCCTCCTTATTCACTTGAACTTTATGTTGAGAAGCAATGGCAAAGAGGAGTTGATTTAGAGTCCTCAAGATTAGGCATCTTAAAAGAGGGGTGCTAGAAATGAAATAGAGAAATGTTGTTTATCAGCAAAGGGTCTACCTGACATGCATGGATCAAATAATGAAATCAGGTTGTAGGGTAAGGAAAGTATCAGGTTTTTCTGCCCCCCACCATTAGATTAGCATGCCTGATGGCGAGCACCTGGATTTTTCTTACATTGTTATATTCAGTTGTATTGTTTAAAATCCCAATAAAACCCTGAAAAAGCCACGAAGGACTCTCCTTTACCTGTCTCTGGGTTCATAGAGAACCAGCTCTGTGTCTTCCTGGGACGACACAGGTATGTGAGAAAAGAAACTGCTTCATTTGTGAATCAGCTGGCAAGGAGGTAGGAGAGAAAGTCAAATCTACCCCTTCCTTTCAATTAGGAAAGGAAATGAAGTTATGATAGGTTCTAGGCACCAGGTTTGAGAAAAAAGGGAATTAAATTTTATTGGTTGAAAGTAGATGGGGACAGGGGCCTCCCCGGTGGCGCAGCGTTTGAGCGCTGGGTTGCGAAGATGCCTGCAGCCTCTGCAGAGCCGGTTCTATCCCCGGCTGCTCCCCGGCCACCGGGTGAGGGTCCCGCATGGTGCGCAGACCTCTCCTGCCGCCCGCTGCTCCCCTCAGCAGTGTACTTCGGTCCTTCTGCCTGCTCTGCTCCCTGCTCTGGCTCTGGTGAATTCTCTCACCCTCCCGCGCTTCTGACTGTACCCAGTGCTTGTATAAATAAATTAAAAAAAAATTAAAAAAAAAAAGAAAGTAGATGGGGACAAATAAATATGGATTTGTCCAAAGTTCATTGCTTCGTCACAGGGCAGTTCATACATGAAGATGGTTACCAGAGTTTTGGATTTCTGTCGGTGGACTCCCTCTTCTTCACCTTCACTCTCCCAGTTCCAAGTGACCTGGAAACTCAGCTCAATGTTAGTTAATTAAGACTTCAGGTTTTGCTTTGTCTATAAAAACAAGTGTAAAGGGCAGGACTGGATACAGTGCAGGTTTTCTGATCCCATGCAGACCGGGTAAAGGAGGAGTCAGAGTCCTCAGTAGTTTTGCAGGTTTTTTATTTGGGGTTCACCAGGCATATGGCAGGCAGGGGTGCTGGCTGGGGGGCTGGGAGGCTGGCAGGCCTCCCAGCCCCCAGCAAGTCCTCACTCTATCTGGGCTCTCTAGCGTTCGTTCTGCTGCTTCTCGGCTTCGGCTTCGGCTGCGGCGGCTGCTGCTGCTGGTGCTGGTGCTGCTGGTGCTGGTGCTGCTGCTGTCCCCGTGACGCAGCACTTAAAAAAGCACAGTCTTAACTCAGCTGAATCCCATCTACCTATGCCCACACCCTATTCCAGGTGCCCGCCATCAGGCATGCATTCAGGACAAGGATCCATCATCTATCCTGATGGCGGAAGGGCAGAAAAGCCTGATATTTTCTTTACCCTACAACAAGTCTCAGAAACAATGTTTAAGTAAGTTCCATTTACCTCTCTCTCTTTTGGGTTCTGAAACCAAGCTAGTGTCAGTTTCAGTTTCCCCTTGAATTGTGTACGTTCTTCAATCTTGAGGAATTTGGGGGCAATAACCACTCACTCTGGAATACTGAAAATAATTACAATTTAGAAATTGAGATACTCAGTTATTTCATTTAATCAGTTTTCACTCCTGAGATAGAACAGTCCAATTAAAGAGTTGTGTCCCATTTCTGGAGCATAATTTGGTTTCAATATTAATATAAAATGTTCTGGTTGCCTTTCTGTACCATGTGCAAATTAGAAGAAAAAAGCATATCAACTTGAAATTATGCTATGTACCTAATGAATATTATTAATTAACTCGATTAAGTGTAAGTACAGGATTTTAGGTTACCTAAAGAACAAGAAAACTATCTTCAGACTATAAATCATGAATATTATTGAAATAAGATTGACTGAAATAATGATTCGATTTGGTTAAACACAAATGTACATTTTTCATAATCTGAAACATCTGATTGATACAATGCAGTTTATTAAATCAGAAAACTTCTATAAGTTTAGGAAGAACATCCCCCAATGAGAATAAAAATGTATGTCTGTGTTATACTTAACATTAAAAAATAGCTATTTTAATTAAAATGATACTAAAGTTGATTTTTTTGGCCAAAGTTTTGCCTAAATACTGTAAACTTGAACTTTAAAAACCTTTCAGTTAGTTTCTATAAGAATTGTTTTTTAAGCCTATGAAAATATTAGAAGCTCAATCCTTAAATTCTGGGAATTTTGCAAATATTCAATTTGTATAAATATTTATCTTTAGGCCAATCAGAATAGAAGTTCCTTTGAGGAATTTTATTATTTTACTTTTTTATTGAAGTGACATTGCATTATAACGTAATATATTAAATTCACAGTTAGAAATCCAGATCTATCCTTCACCATAGTACTATTTCTCTTTCTCGATTTACCCAGTGTAGTTTCATATCATTATTCAGAGGTGGAAGATAAGTATTCATAGACATAAAAACAATCAAACAGACACAAACAAAGAGCCTTGATCCTAAAACTTCAGCCATGGTTCGGACAAAAAAGCACATCAACACAAAACTCCCTGAGTCTTCATCCTTGCCCAACTACTTGTGAAGGAGAGCCCCAAGATTTCCTTTGTCCTCTTGTGCAATCTTATGGACTTTCAGCACTTAAAAGGGAAGAATGTTGTATAGATTAGTGTTACTTCAATAATTTTTTATAGATGGGGTTGGGGAAAGAGTGTTCTACTTCTTCCATAGAATCAGAAACTAGTTACTCTGCCCTCAACTCTCGATCTGGCTCTGCCCATCTTGTCACTAATTTTTCAATACACATAACTCTCCACGGGAAACCTTCCCTGATTCTTCATCTGAAATAGCCCCGTTCCATGCTTTACCTCCTTGGACTACTTACTTTTGATGGCATTTATTACTAATTAATGCTATTTTTCCTTGTTTGCAGCCTTAATAATTAAGGAAATGAAAATTTAAATGCAATGAGATACTATTTCCCAGCCACTGAATTGGATGCATTAAACAAAGGGGGATATTATCAATTTAGATGATAATATGGATCTCCTGAATCTTTTCCTGGCTTATAGGAATGGAAATTGGTACAACTGTCAGAAAAGTTTACCATGACAGTAGGTTTGAAGTCATGTAAACCTTTAGACTCAGCAATTCTGCAGTATCTACCACAGAGAAACTCCACCTTCTGTATCTAGAATATTGTTTACAGCCTTAATAATTAATAATAATTTTATTATAAATTATAATTAATAATATTTTTATTATAAAGTAAAAAATGGGAAATACTCCCACCCAGTCAACAAGAATGGATACATTTGCTTACTGTAGTTTTATCATGGGAAAAAATAAAGTAATGATGACAGATAAGTGAAACATTTTAAGAATGAATATTTAAAACATAATATTGACCAAAAAAGCATGTTGCAAATATACACAGTATGGTTCCATTTACTTGAAGTTCACAAATATGCAA